ACAAACCTCAGACGCTTTCCAAGATTTAAAACCAGTTGAATTGTTTTGCTTTTGCATATGCAAGCTGGTGTCAATTCATGCAGACATCTGTACTGTGAGAAAAATAAATCAGATTATGTATACAGTAATATATTTTTTTCCATTTGGCTATTTTCAGAAAAATTTAGTTTCATTCTGCTGGTAAAAAAAAAGACAAGAGCTTTTTGCTGCAAAGCAGTACCATGATGGAAAAAGGCATGCTTCGGGCTTCTTAGATGTGTTCTTGTGAGTTAGCAGCTTCATAAGCAGTCACTATAGTTGAAAATGAATTATTGTTGCGGTTTTCTTTGACTTGTATGAATACTAAGTATCGTCAGTTCTACTGGATATAGGAAAAAATAGTAAGAATTTTGCTTAAGGGACAGAGCAGTGAAATTTTGAAGTGGTCAAGAGCTGCAGCGTCACATCTTTTCCTTACCTATTCATAACCAGTGTGGGGATTTTGCCATTACTCAAGGATGCCTAGTTGCTTTTTCCCCTCACCTTACTCAGTCTCCTCAATGTTTTGCCCTTTCATATCACTCATGTCATCTTATGTGAAGAATTTCAAAGGAAGACTCTAAAGCTTACCTAGAGAAGTAGAACCACGCCTAGTTTGTCTGATATTTCATTGTTCTCATAGACTGCCTTTTATTATACCCTCCTGAATTACATTTGAGGTTGGTGTACTCACCAGTTAAGTTTCAAGAAATAAACATATGTGATCCACTGGCACACTACTTTGTAAGTCTGGTGTCCCATATGTAAGTTGGTTATTGAAATCCTAGGGTTTGGTTTTGGTGGTTTATTTTGGGGGGGAGGGGAGGAGGGTTGGGGTTTGTTTTTGTTTGGTTGGGTTTTTTTCTCCAGAAATCGGGGTCTGTGGCACAACATGACTTAACCTTCTAGAGGACAGAAAACAGTTCACTTTAACCTCCCTTTATATGTGAATCTTTGCTTAAAACATATGAAGCAGTAGTGTAATGTAACCTTAGTTTTGTGTTCTACTACATTATCACTTACTTGTATAGCACATCTTTCTCCGTATTTGTGATGTGGAAACAACTGCGTAGTGGAGGGATGTGTTTAAAAATTTTCTATACATACTTTGTGCTTGTTTGTACTTTGCTTTTGCATTATATGGTATCTAGGATTGCAAAAAGAAGACAGCTTGGTTTTACTTAGGAAATTTTGGTCACATCAGAAATTGATCTATGATTCTTGAAGTTCAGTCATGCCAAATCTTAACTGCAACAAATTCAATGACCTTTTCAAAATATCTATTGTATATTTGCTCTGCTCTTTTGTTACAGAGATTAATCCTTTTTGTCAGAAAAGTGGTCAGTGCAATTACTACATCTGAGAAAAATAAAACTGATTAATGGATAAAAAGTAGATCTTATCAACCATCTAAAATTTTGCCTCTGTCAGTTGTGTATAGGCAAGATAGACTCCTGGAATAAATTAGTGTTTTAAGATACCTTTTGAGCATTGTAAAATCATAAATCAGGTTCAGATTAAATGTTCATATTGTTAGATTAAATGTTCATATTGTTCTTGTTTTTATCAGTCACTTCACACTTTCATAAACTTATGAAATTTCCTGTGCTGGTACTTTGTAACAGAAAATTTCAGTGAAACATCATTTACTTAGTGTTCTTCTTGGTTCCAGCTACACAGATTTTCTTAAGGTACTGAAACAGACGTAAACAAATACTTAGCACAAAAATCACTGAATTAGAGTATTTAATACAGTAAAATGCACTATTTTTTGTGTGGAGTGAATGGATTTATAATTTCTAAATATATATTGTGCATGCAGTTGTAAGTATACAACAAACCCATATTAAATCTCTTAGTAAGTGTTGGGCTGACTTTGTTTCTGCCTCACCCCAACAAAATGTTTGACAGCACTTAAGAATTGTCTGCAAGTAACCTGTATATGAATTCCAGTTGCATTTTATATGATCTAATATTGTAATAATGACCCCTTTTACTTTATTCTATTTGCTGGGATAAGGATAGAGATTATGTCTGGGATAAAGTGGAACATGGGTTTTTTTTAATTCATCAATACTTTATTTCTAATAAGTCTTTGTCTTTCTGGAGTACAGGGCAGTCGGATTAGAAGTCAGGCTTCATATGTTCAGCATTCTAGAAACTGTTGTTTCTGTTCCAGTTTTTTGTGTGTGTTTTGGGGTTTTTATTTCCTGTAAAATCTAATGTGAAATTTAGTTACTTAAGAACTTACTGATGTCCAAAAATGTCAGCTGTGTGCCTTCAGGAAGTTTGAAAACACAGAGCTTTTAAGGTATTTATGGACAAAGCATTGGAGATGATGAAGGCCTAAAAGGAATTACTCCTGGCTAATTAAATTTGTCAGTGTTAGAGACACAAGGACTACAGGAACTTGACTGCTGAGTTGTTAGATAAAACCAGGCAGTACAGCAGCCTGTAAATACTAAAGAGGCTGAGAAAGTGGAGTTTGATGAGAACACTACCAAAGTTACTGGGGAGGGATGTTAGTTCATTTTTGCTTGGTTTTGACAGGG